TTCACTCTGATTGGCCCAAAGGGGGAAAGGCACCACGCTGCTCTCAATTACTAATCAGGTGTACGGGCCCACACACTGTGTAACAGGTGATCTGAATAACCTGCAATCAACTCAGAGGGAACCGTGAGAGTCAGATAAGAGGGAAAGTAAAACTACCAAAGAATGAGGGACTGTGACAATGTTTGTGAATGTGTCGAGAAAAACATCCCCCACCCAAAAGAATTCATAGCAATACAGGTATATGGATTAACATTGTTACGTAACTTGGAAGCTAATAGACAAATGTTATGTGAATATGTTAATGTCGATGATATATTTGTTTACTGCCATAAAACCAGCAGAAAGATCTTAAATCATACTTTTGATGTAAATGATTTAAATCTTAAATTATTTCGGGATTTTTATTTAAAATTAAAATGTGGACATGTCTGTTCCTCAAAATCTGATACGGCACATATACCTGTACATATACCACATATCTAGTTTGCCATTTCTTCAGGCTTAAAATAAGTGTCTTGTCAGCGTTTTATTCGACTGTAAAATCTATTTTTTGTGGAGTCTGCAATATAGTTGTTCCCAAATGTTGCAAGTCATGCTGCAACAATATCAGCTGTTATACATTTGATGTTCAAAAACATTGTGGTGTCATTGTTTGCCAATAATCTACCTAATTGTTTACCAAAGGAAATACTGATTACACATATTTAGACATTTTGAAAGACATTTAAAAAGTTGTCACACTGACATACAAATACAAACAGTGTCATACAGTATCAAGCGTAAATGGTTGGCTTATTATTCTGTGTTTTTCTCATAAAAAAGCTTTGTTTGGAAAAGAGGGAGATCAATTAATTGGATCTCTTGTGACAAAACATATTTTTTAATTGGATCCGTTTGTAAGGGACACTTTTAAATATGGAAAACAAGTATTGATGTGTTATGCATTTCACCGACGTTAGCTTGAAGCTTATTTCATTTGCTGTAATGGTACAATAAATAAAAAAAGGAGAATGTGAAATAAACACATAATAACAAGACACATTTAAGTAAAATGCAGTTTCCTTTCAGGCGAGAGTTTGAAATATAGACATTGGTTTGCTCCAAGACTTCCACTTCCCTTGAACAAGGCGGCATTCATAGTTATTTACTGTTTTCTGTTCATGGATGAGTGCATTTCTTCTGTCCCTGTGAGTCCCTCATAACAACTCATCCTAGTTTTATTGTAGATGTAATTACTCCTTTCTGTGCCTTTGTTCAGGGGCAGAACAGTGATTTGTGCCTACTCCATCGAAGACATTGACGTGGCTTTCTCCACTTCCAAACTGAAGGGGTACAGCAGCGCTTTCATTGGCTCTCGCCCTGGGATGGTAAGAAAAAAAAACACTGCAACAATCTTTCATTTCCTTTGCTGTCACAGTTATCTGAGAAAAACAGCATTGTGATGAAATGTTTGCATGAGACAGCCTTTTATTGCAGAGGTGAACGGATCAAAATGCAATTTTTTGAAAGGCACGAGTTGATAAAAGAGAAGCAATTTCAAATTCTTTGTCCAAGGGCATCTTGTTTATTCAGCCTGGTCTGAATCGATTACGTCACTTCTCCCCCTCAGTGCGTACGCAAAAACTCGACAACAGGAGGTCACAACGACATCAAAAACCTCGGGGTGATCAGATACCACCCGGAGATCGAGGATGTGATCCAGCCGGTCGGTGTGGCTCCGCTCGACCTGCCCATGGACGACGACCAAATCACACACACTGTGGCGGACATCGTGATGGCGGTCAACGACGAGCACTACAGCGTCCTGTACATCGGAACAGGTGTGTGTGCTTTGTTATGTGTGTGTTAAAGCTTCAGGTGTTTGTCATGGAGTATCAGCGTCCACTTCCTGTTTTCTGCTTTAACCCTTATGTTGTGTTCGGGTCTCCCGTGACCCGTTTCAAGTTAAAACTTCTTTTTTTTTATCGGAACAAGGCTTCATGATATCCTCCACAGCAGCTATATAAACACTACAAAATAGATTTTGACAATTTTTGCCAAGTCTGAAGGTCTCTAAAAATAAAAGTGTATAATTTGGTGTTCGGGTCTGGGGAGACCCGGCAGAAATGTTTTGGGTGACTCGATGTCAAATTTGGCCCAATCAAGATTCATCTTTGACTTTAGACACCCCTCCCCCTCCCCCTTCATCCACTGTAACAATAATTGTTCGCAACATGCACATGGTCTCCCATCCCGCTGCCCCCCTCCCCCCACGGGAACTCGACCTTTCTCAAAGAATATGTACACTAACACTTGAACCTGAACTCACACATGCACGTGTGTTAGGAATGCATTATAAGTTANGACATGGCATTGTACAATACAAATTCAAAGACTAGAAATAAACAAGAAAGTAGAAAATATACATGTTGAATTAACAAGGTATTATGCATATATGTATGTATGCATAATACCTTGTTAATTCAACATGTATATTTTCTACTTTCTTGTTTATTTCTAGTCTTTGAATTTGTATTGTACAATGCCATGTCTTTTTGGTGCTGCTACAACGCATCATTTCCCTAATTGGGATCAATAAAGTACTTCCTTATCTCTTATCTCTAATCTTATCTTATATAAATGATCTCAGTAAAAAGTTATTTATATGTAATTAAGAGCATTTCTAGTGTTGTGTCTCAATGCACAACCTTCTGTACTTTCACTTTCTGTTTTGAGTTTATAACTGATCATTCAACACAGTCTCAAGGCATTTCGTGCTATAGTCACGAAATTATTAATCTATTGATTCGTGTCCACCAACACGATTTTCGTATTTCGATTTTCGCATTTATTATGTAAATAATAACAAATTTGAAGGAAAAAGAGATACAAAAAAATACAGATTTCAGTATTCTGACACAGAACGATTTTAGAAGCAATGTATTTCTATTGGTGGTATGTTTCGTGCCTGAACCAAACAATAACAAATTAGAAGGATTTCAGTATTCTGAGGCTCTGAGCCATTTATTTTCGTCGCNAGATATAGTCCCCTTATGGGAAAGTGATGTACCATACGCGAACAGCCAACAGCGAACCGGAGTAAACATGCAAATTAGATTATCCAAAACACCAACATAGATGAGAAAAATAAATATACAGACATTCAAACGGTCAGCCGTATCCCGCAAAACCAGACAACAGGCCGCAACTGACTGAGAGGGTTTGGCGCTACTACTATATGAGTGAGGGCAACGATGCATGCTAGTTTCAAGCAAGCTACCAACAACAAGCTATCGCGCCATACAACTGCAAAAAAATAAACACACACCCCAGCGAGAGAATATGGTACGCACAGAGGCATAGTTCAGAACGCGGTACAGGGCACCCACCCCTTACCAGCGTGCTGAAGCACGTAAGGACCTAATGTATCTAACCAGCAGAAATATGGACTGTAAATTAGAAACACCTACTATGCACAAAACGAAGATACCAACTACAGCGTAATACTCAAAGAGATTCCAGTGCGCAGGGTTGGCCTTTCGAATGCGGAAACACATATGAAGCCAAAACAAGTCCCGGCAGTATTTTGGTATGTAACATCCAGATACCCACTAAAGTACTAACAAACACAACCACACACCCAGTAAACCACCCCAAACAAAACAGAGAGCTAGTGAAACAAAGTTTGATATAGAGCAGGAGACAGACATAAGACGAAACAACACAACCCAGGAAGAAAGACAAAAACCCACAAAACTGAAGAGAACATATGCCATACCAAAAAATAGAGACAGACTTCAGAGAGACTAGCAGAACGACCAAACCACCCGACGAGAGTCAATCGGAGAGCCACGAACATGCTCAATGAAGCCAGTCGATCGGAGTACCAAGTACACAACAATACAAGAACCTGGTTCCAGGCGCATTATGAAGGACCAAATGGGCCATAACCAATACACACACAGAGTGTGACAGTGGATGCAACTGCAGGACCCCCCAGGCAAGTATCCAACTAGAAGAAAGAGGAGGTAAACCAGTAGTACTTAGATGGACTTCGTAGATGAAGACAGTTGAATAGTGATGGGGTTCATACCACTGTAGCTACTGGCTACACGAGCGGATATAATGTGTACCACAGACTTTTGGGAGGCTATGAGGCGGCTATCAAAGAGTGGGTAAAAGCCATGGATGAGGAGGTCCACTCATTAAACGAGAACAAAACATTTCCCCAACACCCTGCCAATAGGCAAGAAAACAGTGGGGGGTAAATGGGTTTACTCCATCAAGAGCGATGTTAGAGGAAGAGACAAATGACAAAGCACGGTTTGGTGGGCCAAGGGTTACAGCCCCAGGTAATGGGAATAGACTATGGGGAGACGTTTTCACCCACAGCAAACCTGACGAGTGTAAGGGTGGTGGTTACAGAAAGCAGCGCAGGAGGACCTGCTCCTACACAAGATGGACGTGAAAACAGCGTATTTGACGCTCACTCGACTCTGATCTTGTGTAATCCCTTCACATCTGTTGTGTGCGGTTCTTTTTCACCCCCCCTCCAGGCAGACCTCTCGAGTCTTGCCCTGTTCTCCCCTCAACCATACCCCCCCACCTCCCGCCCTGGTGTTTCTTGCCCACGCGTCCCCCCCCGGCGCTTCCTCTCTGTCGTGAAACTAGTAATATACTGCAGGATGCATTAAAATGAATTATTCAGCGATGTACAGCACGAGGCTGTAGGAAGCCTTATATACCTAACCACTTGTCCAGACCAGACTTAAGCTTTGTGGTAAGCCAGGTTGATCACAGTGAGTTTTGGGCCTGTGCGTAGTAATGCGGAGAAAGCCTGCAACACGTAGAATTGAAACTGAAGAGGTTTGGTGCAATTATTTTTGGAGTTTGAAATGTGTAACAAGACACAGGGGTTCACATTCATTCTGTATTTTTTTTTTCTGATGGTTTTGTTTTTCTTGTTTAAGATTATAACAACCTGAGAACAAGTGGGGGTGTTGAGATTTGATGGGATATATGTCCTCACTTGTATGTGTTACTGTACTGTTCCATGTGGTGTGCAATGTTGTGCTTGTGCCACAGTGAGGCGCAAGGACAAGGGGTATAGGATGCATGCCTGCCTCCTATAGGCTAATCACAGCTCTTGATTGCCACGTGTGTGTGGAACCAGTTCATTCCAGTGGAGGCTGTCACCGTGAGAGTGATGCGTGCAGCCCTTATAATAAAATATGCCAGGCTTGGCTAAATGGATTACATCTCCGTGTTTTTCTCCGAATGCAACGTTAAGCTGCAGAACTAAGCGCAACTTAACAGGTTATGGGCCCAGGAGTCGTTCGGAAGAAAAGTTTGTCGGTTTCCACCGTGTAGTAGTCGCAACAAACAGCGTGCTAACGGGTTGCTAAGCTAGCAAGGAGAGCAAGCTAGCATCATGGATCAACGAGGAACAAGCAGGTTGCCTCGACTGGCGTTCGACGGAGATGAGACCAAATATGAGATTTGGGAGACCAAAATGTTGGGACATTTCCATTTAATTGGACTAAAACACACGGTCCTGGGAGAACCGAGGACTGAAGCGGAAAGAGCGGCAGACGACAAGAAAAATGCCGACGCGTATGCCGAGATGATTCAACTGTTGGACGACAAGAGCCTCTCATTAGTTATGAGGGANTGTTGAGATTTGATGGGATATATGTCCTCACTTGTATGTGTTACTGTACTGTTCCATGTGGTGTGCAATGTTGTGCTTGTGCCACAGTGAGGCGCAAGGACAAGTCCTTGCGCCTCACTGTGGCACAAGCACAACATTGCACACCACATGGAACAGTACAGTAACACATACAAGTGAGGACATATATCCCATCAAATCTCAACAGTTAGGGTAAGATATTGCGTAAGAAAATGTTTTTTATGAACCACACAGCTTCCGATCTTCCAGGACCCGACCGGACAAAAAGACGTGGTGCAGGCACGAAACATACTACCAATAGAAATACATTGCTTTTAAAATCGTTCTGCGTGACACGAAAAACGGGGAAAATCGTGTTGGTGAACACGAATCAATAATTTTGTGACTACTGTATAACACGAAATGCCGTGAGACTGGGTTGAATCATAACCCTAAGGCTGGCAAAGTGCAGTCCTGTTTCTTCACTCATGTTGCTCAAAATGTTGAGTGTTGAATGTGTCTTGTCTTTATTTAGCCTGTATTGATTTGGTACCTCAAACTATAACTCTGCTAGCTTGCAAGCTAGCTTACAGCGTTGGTTGTATACCCAGTGAGCGCAAACAAGTGTGCAATTTAAAGGAAACTCTATACCCTAGGAAAACTCATTCCCACAAATAAGTAAATAGTTTACAAAGTGTCCTGCATGGGAGTCTACGAATGGAAGTATCACAATTGGATGGCTGTCATAACGGGGCCATTAGCTAGCCAGTTGGAAACATGAAAAGATTACAACACACAGAAGAAAAGTGACTTCATTTTTTGCTAAGAAAGACACGGACTACCCATCACATCTGCTAACTAACAGGTATTGTATTTCTTTTATAATGTGAGGATCATTTTACTTGATTATTCAACTAGTTATTTCCCTACAAATGTAAAAAAAAATTGTGATTTTTACCGTGCAGATGCGTCCAATGCGGGCCCTGTACGGCTCCTCGTCCACTCGGGCTGTCTTGTTGAGCTCACTGAAGAAGAAGTAGATCTCCTCCTTGTACTTCATTGTGGACGGGATAACCGCTGCCCCCGCAAACTGTGGATCTGGAGATGAGATTTCAAATTGCCCATTAAGATATCTGCACTCTGCTCCACTTTATCTTGAGATCTCCCTGAGTCTAGCAATCTTTTTTTCCGCATGATTGCATAACCTTTTTGCGCCAAAATGGCTTCTCTCAGTGGACTTGTTTCTGGTTCACATTAAACTGCTGTGAACAACATGACCTGGAAAAATAACAGTAAATAATCCTGCATGGTGTTTTTCCCCTGGGAATTAAAGTGGGATATCTACACCCACCTTTACGGCAAGCCGATTCAGCTTTTATTCTTTTCTGGAGGATATCAACAAATCTATTCTTACTAGTTTGAATGTTTATTTCTGATATCAAAAATATAATTTTAACTAGTTAGAAGTAAAATTCTTGATATCAGAAATTCAATTGTAACTAGTTGTAATGTGTATTTCTGATATCAGCAATGCGATTTTAACTAGTGATATTTGCATCATTTTTCTCATTCATTTCAATGGGAGTTGGAATATGAACTAGTTCAAATGCCAATTTCTGATTATCAGTAATTCAATTGTTACTAGTTACAATTATATTTGAACTAGTACAAAAATACCAATTTATGATATCGATAATTCAATTTCTCTACTCGAAATGCCAATTGTTGATATCAGAAATTCAATTTGAACTAGTTCAAAATCCTTTTTTTAATATCAGAAATTCAATTGTTACTAGTTGTAAATAAAAATGGAATCATAACTAGTAACAATTGAATTCCTGATATCAAGAATTTGCATTCTAACTAGTTAAAATTCATTTTTTGATATCAGAAATAAACATTATTACAAGTAAGAATTGCATTTTTGATATCAAGAATTTGCATTCTTACTAGTAAGAATTGATTTTTTGATATCCTCCAGAAATGAATAAAAGCTAAATCAGCTTGGCATACACCTTCTCCATATTCATTAGTCTACATGTTGTGTGCGTGACTCTCCTCCTCCTCCTCCTACTCACTCAGCAGCCAAATGTTCTCCGTCTTCAGGAGCTTCTGGGAGCCAAACGTACGTCGAATGGAGCCGGGGTGACCTGCCACAGATGAAATAGCCGAATACAGACTCCCATCTGAGAGAGGAGAGAGGAAGAAGAAAGTGTCGGTTTGAAAAAAGAAAAGGGTACACAGTTCAGAGGGAGAGGATGAGAGATTGAAGTGACACAGGAGGGGGGTTGAGTGAAGCTGGAGGAGAGAAGGATACAGGGAGATAACATTAAACAGAGAGTGAAGACAGACAAAGGGGGGGAGGGGAGGACTTAGACAGAATTAACAAAACAGGGGGGGAGGGAATCAAGAAGGAGAGTAAAAAAGACATCAAGGCAGAAAAGCTGACGAGCGCCATTCTTCAAACCCCACTTAGAGCTCGGTCTCCATAGAAATGAGCATTTGAAACGGTAGCAGCGACATCTTCATTAGGACTTATCGTTGTTAGAACGCTTCGCAACTCCAGACGCTGATCGGATCGTTGCTTCGGAAATCGATTTTGAAGAGCCTCCTTCAGCGCATACTAACCTCTCACTAATTCCTGAATGTCTCCACAAACAGTCCATCTGCATTAGTTAACAGATAAACAAATTGTCCGTCGCTAATAACAAGCTTTGATTAATGGAAAGGATGCTTTTAACTCCTAACATCTCTATTTAGTTAATGAGATTCTGCACAGCTGGATAACACACACGTTCATATAATCACAAGTTCCCTGTGGAGAGGTGCAAGCAAACAAAGGTGTATTTGCGAACCTCGTAAACCAGATTATTTCCACCCATTACAATTGTCTTTTTTATTTAATCCAATTTAGCTGGATTTGTAAAGCATAATATATTTCCTCGAAGATCTTTCATTTGAACAAAAACACAACCTGGAAGTATATCACTTCAAACCTGAACATAATGCTCCTATACAGGGCCGTTTCTAGCTTTTTGGGGGCCCTATGCAAGATACTTTCTGCAAAGCCTTTAAGATGATCTGTGGAGATGCATCAATCTGTTACACTTTAAGAGGAAAACAGGCTAATTTCACGAAAACCAAGCAATTGAAACTTACAAAAAATGATATTAAAAAGGTAAACAATAAGGCTCCTCTACGTCAATAAATGCAAGAGAGTCAGCATTTTCTCAACAATGTATAATTTACATTTTTCATTTTCCTCAGACGTCACTCATTGGGTGACAGCCCAATGATGATTTGGACTTTATTGATCCCCAAAAACACAAGCCACAGCTTTGCTATCATTGCAGTTTAGTTGCGTGTATATCCTACATTTGATTTGTAAGCATAGAATGCTTCACCGAACACAGCAGGGGGCTTGGCTGCTAATTTTAATTCTCCCCAAATATTTTGAGGCTGAACCTGAACTTTCAGCTTGGGGGGGCCCTAGTTGCTGCGGGGGCCCCCCAAGGCCCTTATAGGAAGAAACGGCCCTGCTCCCATACAATAAAACTGGTAAATATTGTGAATCCAAACAAAACTACTTGATGAATTTAAGGGAAAAAAACAAATTGGCAAGATGGACTATGATTACAAACGTCAATGTGATGCATGTAAGAATAAAAACTGGGAAAAAATATGTTTCCTTTATGATGAAATTGAGTATCAATTTGTTGTGTTGGGAACAAACCAATATGTCCCAACACATGAATATGGAGAAATTTCATGTGCTAATGAACATAATGAAACTCTTGTAAAGGACCGAAACAGACAGTAGTTTGTGGATATCTAAATGTGGCCAAATGTTTGGGAAGTAATCTAAACGTGTAGGGCATACAGTATATCGTACATATACGCAGTATGGCACGTACCATTTTAAGTCAAAGTCAACTTTATTGTCAATCTTTCAGCTTGTGTGTACAGACAGAGAGATCGAAATACCGTTTCCCACAATCCCGAATATCAAAATACAAATATGTATAAGATATGTATCCTACACATTCAAATCAATCAAAAGACTCTCCTAACCTTGATCAAAACCACTAGGACTTTAAAGAACATTCTGATAACATGTTCATCTTTTTAACAACCCTACCATCATTCTTTGCTCTTTATCGTCCAGGGTTCTGTAAATCTTGTGTCTAAATCTATTTGTGCAGTGAGTTATATAAGAGCTCAATGTTTAATGTGAATGTTTCCATGTGAAGGCACCACAGCAGATGGCTGACTGTCGCATGTTTTTCACTCGGCGAGGTGTGATCCCCCGGTGGTGTTGGACTTTGATGAATAACATGTACGATATTTTTCTGTTGCACAGGAATTAATTCATTACTCTTTTTAAGGTTTCCCCTTTTCTCTTTTCCTCTAAGAAGAAATCTGAGAGCAGACATTTCACGAGCGCACAGAAACAGCCTGAGTGCGAGGAGGAAATCTGTAAGCAGCAATATATCTGAGTGCAAGCGTACAGTTTGAGCAGAAGCAGAGCAAATCTAAGCGCAAGCAGGCACTATTTGAGTGTGAGGGAAATAAATCAATAAAGTAGGCTCTCAAATTTAAATACCACGCTCTTGAATAAAGATAGGGGATAACCCCCATAAGACAGGGGTGTCCAAACGACGGTGGCACTCAGCAAATTAAAAAAGTATAATGAAATATGACCCACAAATGAAACGTGTGCTTGTCTTATATTGTACTTCTTAACTACAAATGTAAACATATATTACTCAGTAGTATTCATGTGTTAATACGACCACTTTTCAAATAAATTCAGTCAATTAAAGTTGGAAACATTTTCTAACAAATCTTAGTTGATAATAAAAAAGCCCAATGACTTATTTACATAACCAGCTAGAAATAAACCCTTCATATTTCTCCTTATTATAATCAATCTGAGGCTTCTGCCAACACTCACAAGCAGGGGCGCCGTAAGGGGGTGAAAAGTTAGGACGATTCTAAGGGCCCGTGACTGACAGGGGCCCAAACTATTTTAGAACATTAAGAAAAAAATGTAACCAATGTGATATATTTTCATGGAGCCCAAAATCACTGGCGGCGCCCCTGCTCACAAAAATAACTTATAACTGAACTTATGAGGCGATATACCTCTAGTGAGGGGCTCAGCCCTTCGTATATTTCTCTGTATGTGGCTCTCGGTGAAAAAGGTTTGGACCCCCCTGATCTAAGAGCTTTTTAAACTGGGGTTGATAATCCGGGGGATGGTTTTGTTTTATATCTAAATCAAGGGTCGATGGCTAGAGGTTGGTTTTCTGTAAAGATTGTAAAACCCTTTGAGAGGCATTTGGGTTTAATACAATCAAATGTATGCATTTACAGTTAAGGTTTAGACTTGCTTTGTCCAGTTCTCTTAAAAGTTGTATTTTGGTGGCAGTCGCTCAGTCCGCAGGGACTTGGCTTGGGAAGTGAAGGGTCGCTGGATCAAGTCCCAAATGGACCAAACATACGGTATGTGGACTGGTATTTGGAGAGGTGCCGGTTCACCTGTACACTGCTGAGGTGCCCTAACCCCAAGCTGCTCCCTGACGCCTGGCAACCTGCAGCCTCTTCGTTCTGCATCTCTCAGTAAATGCATGCGTTCATGCATATCTGTATTCAGACCGTATCTAGTTCATATGCATGTGTGTATTTGTAATGTGTGTGTGTGTGTGTGTGTGTGTCATCTTATCCTATCTTATTTTCCCAAAGGTTGTTAATACAGTACTTTCTGTTTCCATGGAGGTGAATTGTTGGTAGAAAAGGCTCACACAGTGATAAACGAAGGATCTCGATTCAATCGTGAAGTCAATTTAATCACTTACTCGATAACCTTCGTTTAANTGTGTGTGTGTGTGTGTGTGTGTGTGTGTGTGCGTGCGTGCGTGCGTGCGTGCGTGCGTGTGTGTGTGTGTGTGTGTCATCTTATCCTATCTTATTTTCCCAAAGGTTGTTAATACAGTACTTTCTGTTTCCATGGAGGTGAATTGTTGGTAGAAAAGGGCTCACACAGTGATAAACGAAGGATCTCGATTCAATCGTGAAGTCAATTTAATCACTTACTCGATAACCTTCGTTTAACTGTGGCTCCATTCGTTGTCATATTGATTGAAAGGCTGCTCAGACATATAAAGGGTTTGTAACTTATACATCCTTGACCTGAGTTTAAACCTTTCCTTGTGTGATGAAGTGTATTTAAACACGTTATACACGCTTTATTAATACTAGCTCCAACAATATACACTTAAAACACAACATAGAAATTGACCAATCAGCATGAAGCATTATTTTCAGTAATAGCATCAAATTAAATCTTGTTTAAGGTAACATAAATATGCTTTAGGCCGGTAATACATGGTTTGTTAACACACCCATCTTGTAGAGGATGGGCTCGTTAAAATAGCGTTCTGTGGGTTCCTTTAGATAAGAGCAACCTATTAATTTCCATGTTATGAATAGAGAGATAATAAGAAGTCAGGTTGCTCCAGGGAGGCTGGGACTCTCACGTCTCACTCGGTTGCTCCACACTCAATTGGGCAAAGTTAATATAAACGCAGCTTCGATGCAAAATAAGATATTTAAGAAAGTGACACCTTTCTTGGATGAGAAAAGGTGAGACTTACTAACTGAGACACTGAGGAGAAATGACTGAAGAATTCATTACTTCTAACTTGTATCTTTTAACACTTTGAATGTATTTAACCACAGAGGCTTTCCTTACAGAAACTGAGCCCCACACAGTTTTGGTATCCAATTACAGTTGGTCCGAATATAAACAAGCCAAATTCTGTTTTTAATCTAATGCCGTTTTACATTTTTAAGGTAAAATGTGGCTTTTTATGGCGTCCAATCAGATAACACTCATATGGGTCTTTAGACATCGTTTGTTGCTGCCTCCATCACGTTCATTTTCTAACTTGACTCCAGCGAGCAGAGCCGTATTTTCCTTTCTGAGTTTGTTACCTGCAGGAAAGCTGATGGACTTCTGGGAAGGGTAGGGCGGTGAGATGTCAGAGGCCGACGCGATCTGCCCGTTCCCCTGGACGTCGGTCAGCACCGTCTCATTGACCTGTCGGAGAGGGAAGAGCTGTTTCTGCCTGGAGGAAGTGGGATGGGGGAAATAATCCATACAGAATAGTATCGCGCTACTTTGCGTGGCGATATTGTATCGATACACGGATGCCAAGTATCAATATTTTATTATATACATTTTTTTTTTTAATATAAAGTGTAGCATATCCCTCCGAAAGATGGTGGTATATAAAACAGGAAGTTACGTTAAGACATTGCAATGGAAGTCACAAAAACAATTCCATCTCCTTTTCAGGTTCTAATAACACAAATTGTGTTATTTACATAAACTATTCATATTGCAAATACATTTTTTAACCAGGAAGGGAAGACGGACATGGATATGACCCATGTGATTTGCAATATCGCAATATATCGTATCGCAATACTTAGCATATCGTAGAATCGCAATACTATCGTATCGTGGCTTAAGTATTGCGATAGTATCGTATCGTGGGGAGCCTGGTGATTCCCACCCCTAAGTCTTGCACTTCTTGAGATACATAGAGTCGTCTGAGTCTATATTTTACACTTTGCAATACCATGACCAGACACTTCCATTTTCAAAAGAGAAAACATCCTCCTAGGCAATAAGAAACTCCCGGCCTTCATCTAACCAGCCGAAGAAGTAAAGGAGCAAATGAGTGAATGCTAATTACAATCGATCTTGAGACTCTCTTGAAGGAGCCGCCGTCGAAGCAGCAACCAATACAAAGTGTAATATATGCAAAATAACATACTGTACCCCTTTCAAAATAATTTGTCTGAGAGAAACACTTACCAGCATCCAGCACCTGGGGCTCCCAGCATTTGTTCCACATATAATCATTGTGTCGTTTACTTTCTGAATGACGGTGATGAAATTATCACACTCCAGCTGTGAGAGAAAGAGGCAGCAAACGAGAGGGACAAAGGCAGAACATGAGGCAAAACCAAGAGTGAAAAGGGAGGCGATTAAACAGATTGTGACGGGGGAAAAGAGAACGTGTGGAAGAGTGATTGGAGACAAGTGGCGAGAGAAAACAAGACTGGTAAAACAAACAACAAGAGAGGAAGGTGGAATAGAGGCATAGTGGATCAAAGACCGACTGCAACACAAAACAGATTACGAGAGCGAAAGCGGATTGCTCAGAGAGGGAGAGATTTAAGGAACATTGGAGGTGATCCATGCTCTGAACAATTTTGGCAGACAGCACACAGGAGGCTTAGCCCTGCAGTACAGCACTGCTACACTCCATATGCATCACTTCTTCATTATCGGAAAGAAACGGGCTGCTTTCTCTACGGTATTACTGGATGGAGGACGGAAATGAATATTAAATAAAACCTTAAGGGCTGAATTCAAATGTGCATGGGCTCTCATGTTGAGCCATGTTTGTTGTAACTTGTCTTTTAACAAAAAAAAAAAAAACTCTTGCCGCATAAATTCTGATAAAATCGTGGATAAGTAAACAAGATGGAGGAAGGAAATCTTGAGGTCCAAAAAGCAGGGCCAGAGCTTGTGTAAGTGTGTAGGTGGATGTGTAGGTGTGTGTGTAGGTGGGTGTGTAAGTGTGTGTAGGTGGATGTGTGTGTAGGTGGATGTGTAGGTGTGTGTGTAGGTGGGTGTGTAAGTGTGTGTAGGTGGATGTGTGTGTAGGTGGATGTGTAGGCGAGTGGGTGAGCTGTGTAATTTAGACTTTTTTCTTTCTGTTCTTTTGTAAAAAGACTTTAGAGTTTGGGCATGTTTACAAAAGGTTCGTACTTGTCCAATGCACACATGTAGGACTTAAGTGCTATCATTTGTTATCGAACATGTTTAATGTTCAAAAAGCTCTTTATTTTTTTCAAACTGCGCATACTGTGAACTTTGGGATTTTAGCCTTCGCAGACCATTTACATGCACAATAACCTATAAAAAGCACGATAAGGATCCGTGTTATGCGGACGATTAAGCTGTTGCAGACTTACCTCACTTGGACTAATGCCTAATATGAACTTTCAAAGCTGGCCCCAAAATGTATTAATTTTTCATGTTTTGTAGTTTTACTCTACTGCTTGGTAAATGTCTCTCAGCACTGACAACAAACATGTTCATTGGAATATCAGCCAAGTGTCCCGAGGAAAAACATGCATATTTAATTATTTCGTCCTGATGTATGTCCGACGTGCAGCACTGGTGCAGGACGCAGCTTCACAGAGCGGGGCAGCAAGTAAGGAAACTGAGTTGGGGTTGGTGTGCACGCTCGTAAACCCTAAATCTTTCTCTAACCTTAAACATGTTGGAATGGACCTAAACATACTTCTAACCTAATCCAGGGTTTCACAGACAAATATATGAATGTATAACTATTTCCAGTTGACACAAAGATAAGGATTTTGTGTGTATGTTTGGGAGTATATAATGTTTGATTTGATTAGATTTATTTTGAATGTGTAAAACAATAATACAAAAATGTAACATGATAATTATTATGCAATACAAAATTATTCGGTGTCAAATTGATATACAAAAATATGACTGATTCTTAATTGTATTTAAACAAATGATCTACTTAATTACACATCAGAAAAGGGGTGGGAAGAACACTTATTTAATCCCACCCCTTCTCCCAAAAACCAAATTACTAACATGAATATACATTTATTTTCTATATTTTTTTCTTAAAGAAATACATTTGTTATTGAAAAATGTAAGAAAAAAACAAAAACAGATGAATAGACAACAGATAAGTAAACAAACAAATAAGTTGTCTACTTGTTTTTTTGGCCGATGGGCAATCAATGATACTGCGTGTTGACTGTGACCATCATGGAACCAATTGACATGTATGTATGTATGTATGTATGTATGTATGTATGTATGTATGTATGTATGTATGTATGTATGTATGTATGTATGTATGTATATGTATGTATGTATGTATGTATGTATGTATATGTATGTATATGTATGTATATATTAGGCACCAATCCCTTGCAGGTGCACGACCCTCTTGGCTATGAAAACGCTGAAAGAGTAATTTTCCTTTGAGCTTTAAAATAATGACAGAGAATGTAATCATATCAGATGTATCCCATCGAAAGTAATACATTAGGCTAAGTAGGGACTGGAACATGAATTATCTTTGTATCTATTGAGCGAATGCAGAATGTTTGCCTTGAGAATAAATGGAACTTGATCGTGTTGTAATTGCAATCATGAAAATGAGTGTGGAGATTATTAATTATTGAAAATTATCTTGGTCTTCAAGAATCTTTAAATACTAAGACATCTGCTTTTCTTGCCAGGCATTTCTTTGTGTCTTATTACAAGCAGCAAATCAGTCAGCATTGCACCAAGGCCTCTTGAGGTTATTACTAACCCTCGGAGCATTTCGCATTAGGAGTAGCTTCCCCACGCTATTAGATATATTTCAGGTTGAATATTGTATAAGTCTCTGGATATTTGCTCAGTCTCTCTATGGAACCTCTTTAAATTATGCACTGCAATTATTAACAGCTCACTCATCTGTTTGTTTGTTTTGAGGTGAAGCTGTCTCCTGTGCAATGTGATCCCGTCTGTATAAATTAACATTATTTATACATTTGTCTTTATTGCATCTGCTTGTTGGAATTATTTGCTTTTATTATATATCCTCGCAAAAAAAAATAGAATCTTAATAGCTGAATTAAACTTGGGAAATCAAACCTCACTGATGTGCGAGTGCAGATGATGATGATGATGATGGGGATGATGAAGATGATGATGAGGAGGGGGAGAGTGCTTTGCAGGGGTGATGGAGGTGCTGACTGTGAGGATGAGTTGCTACCTCGAGTGGTGCAGCCTTTGCCTTGCAGGTATCAATTGCAGTCTGGTCAGATGCCGCTGGGATCTGTGGGAGGAAGGGATGTTTAGTTAGTGCCAAGTTCTTTCACACTGCCTTGTATCAGCAAGAAAACTGCGACCTTACTGCAACTGCTACAACGCAATGTTCACGGTAAAGATCTGCTGTCGTAGATCGATAAAAGCTCTGTTATATACATTCATTTGCCATCAACCTGACCTCCTGTGCTTTACATATGCTCCTTTTCAGGTTAATATCAGTATGTAGTGTCTCTACTTTAAAGAGTCCTCTCCTGCTGATGTTCAGGTGTATATCAGTATGTAGTGTCTCTACTGGGAAATGTCTCCATGCTTTAATGTTCAAAAAGCTCTTTATTTTTCTCAAAACTACTCTTTTCACCCTCTGTCTGAAACCAGAGCCCAGTCTGCTCTGATTGGTTAGCTGGCCGGCTCTGTTGTGATTGGTTAACCACTTAGA